GGGAGGACGGGTCTTCTGTGTGTGTGGGACCTTGGGCTTGGCTCCCCTCCGCCCCACACACTTGCCTCCTGGAGGAATTGGCCCCCCCCGCCAACCTGGAGCTCAGCAGAGACAAGCTATGGATCACCAGGAGCTCTTTGCCAAAGCCTGTCCCCCACTGCAGCGTGGCCCCGTGGACGGAGGCCCTGGGGGTTTCTGTGGGCCTGGGCGGCCCTCCCCCGGGGAAGCTGTGGCTCTGGTTTCTCAGTCCAGCTGCAGGACCCTGAGTGGCCCTGCCCAGAAGTGTGGCCGCCCTTTAGGGCCTCATTCCCGGGGTGGGGCCCACGAGCAGGGTCCCTTCCAGCCCTTGGTGAAGGGGGTGGGCGGGAGGGTGGGCGCGAGGTCCCCTTTGACTTGGGAACCACGCTGACTCTGGTGGCCTGGACACCCTGGCTGGGTCTCACCTGCTCTCCTACTGCCCACCTGTCCCCTCTGCTCAGGGTCCCTTCCAGCCCTTGGTGAAGGGGGTGGGCGGGAGGGTGGGCGCGGGGTCCCCTTTGACTTGGGAACCACGCTGACTCTGGTGGCCTGGACACCCTGGCTGGGTCTCACCTGCTCTCCTACTGCCCACCTGTCCCCTCTGCCTCCTGGCCTCCTGCCACGAGCTGGGCACAGTCGCGAGGACGGGGCACTGGCACACACAGAGGGTCTGCTCTGCACCTGCATGCAGTGAGGTGGCGGGCGGCCTGGGACTCAGCTCCGTGACCCATGGGGGCAGGTGGGGAAGACTTCACCCATTCTCACCCCGCCCGCCTGGTGCCCCAGCTCGCTGGTTCTCTGCTTAACCGCGGATGCTGCTTCCTTGTTGCCCCAGGGGCTTCTGGAACTCCTGGGCCTGCCCCTGGTGGCCCCCAGCCCATCTCCGGCTGTCTTTTGAGGGGTATCTTTTCCCCGACCTGCTTGGTCCATCGGGCATATGGGCTCGTGGCTGTCCCCCCCCGCCCGCTCGTCGCCTGTTCCCGGCGGTGGGCTCCCACATTCCTGAAAGGAAAGGAGAAGCTGCCTGCCTCCCAGAGCCTCTCCTGGGGAACAGTTCTCAGGAAGTCTTTGGGAGTTCCTGGTGTTGGGGGTACAGGAGGGAAGAAACGAGGGGAGAGGCCGATGGCAGCATGCCAGGTTGGATCCCTGCCCCCGGGGGCCGTGTGGGGGTGGGGGGCCTGCTGGTGGACCCCGGAGAGGGGGCCGGGACACTGGTCTGCAGCAGAGTAGTAACTGACAAGGTCCATTTGCTGGCGGGCCTGGGGGCGGATTCCTCCTCGAGCGCATCTCTGGAGCCCCGGGTGGGTGGACACTGGCCCCAGGGTGGCTGATCCTAGGCAAGGAATTAGTTCAGCCTCAGCGGGTCTCTCTTTATTTTTGGTTGCTGCCCGTGGACTTCCTTGCGTTGTGACTAGCTGGGGCTTCTCTCTAGTTGCAGTGCACCGACTTCTCATTGCTGCCGCCTCTTTTGTTGCAGAGCATGGACTCTAGTGCGCACGTGTGCGTGGTAGTTGGGGCTCCTGGGCTCTGGAGCATAAGGGCTCAATAGCCGTGGTGCACGGGCTTCGCTGTCCGGTGGCATGTGGGATCTGCCCGGCCCAGGGATCAAACCCATGTCCCCCGCGTTGGCAAGTGGATTCTTAACCTCTGGACCACCAGCAAAGTCCTTGGTTTCTCTTTTCAGAAAAGTATTGGCTGCCGGCTGAGTGGTCTCTGCCGCTGGTGGCCGTGCCCGCCTCCTGGGCCCTGGCCTGCCTCCGCAACTGTGCACACTCTGAATTTTGACTCATGGTGTAGAAGACACCCGGGGAAGAGGGGCTGGGGAAGGTGGTGAGCGAGGAGGGCTGAGCGCCTGTGGAATGGTCCGGGCTTGGGGACCCACTCTCTCTGCTTTGGGAGGGGCGGGGAGCCCAGGGGAGGTGCAGTGGGACCAGCTGTGGGGGGTGGGTGGTGCCTCCTGGGCACCAGGGCTGGGATGGGCCAGCCAGGGGGCAGCCCCACACCCTCCAGTCGCCCCCCGCCCCACGTGCATAGGGTCCTCCGGGTTCAGTTTTCCGTCTTGATTTTGAAGAGATCAGCCATACATGTGCAACCGCCGGAACCATGGCGGGGCCTCCGGGTGGTGGCTGGCTCCCCGTGACCTGGGCTTGACTGCGCCTCTGCATGGCGACCGCTTCTTTGGGTTGTGGTTTTCCCTCCGTCTTGACCCCCCACCCCAGCACCTGCCTTTCCGGCGCTAAAGGAGGAAACCCTGTCCCCGAGTGCCGCTCGGTTCATCCTGGGTTACGGCGCCGTCCGTTTTACGACCTTTTCCTGCAGCTTCCCGGTTACCTGGGAGAGTTATAGGTGGGCTCTTTGAGGGCGGTGGAGGGCCGTTTCCGGGCACAGAGGACGTCTGGCCAGGGTGACGGACCCGCTCAGACGCTGAGGGCTTGTTGGGGGCCCTGAGTGGGGCTCACTTCCTCCCCTCCCGCCCGCCCAGGGCACGGCCGAGCCGACGAGGACTGTGGCGATGACCGGGCCAGGCACCGGGAGGAGAGGCTGCTGGGGGCGCGGCTGGACCGAGACCAGGAGAAGCTGCTCAGGTGAGGCTTGGGGGGCCCTGTGTGGGCGTGGGGTGGTCCTGCGCATGTGGGGGCCCCCTGCTGAGCCCCGACCGGCTCCTCTGCCCCAGGGTGCCGAGCAGTGGCCTGGTGGCAACCGGTCCCTTGGGGCGCCCCTTTTTCTCTCCCCCTCGCCCCGGGGCCGTCCCAGACTCACTGCCGCCTCCGCTCCCCTTCCAGAGAAAGCAAGGAGCTGGCCGACCTGGCCCGCCTGCACCCCACCAGCTGTGCTGCTAACGGCCTGAACCCCAACCTCATGGTGACTGGGGGCCCGGCGCTGGCGGGCTCTGGTCGCTGGTCTGCTGACCCTGCAGCCCACCTGGCCACTCACCCTTGGCTGCCCCGCTCTGGTAGCACGTCCATGTGGCTTGCTGGACACCCCTATGGTGAGTCGGGGGTGGGGATAGCGGAGGCCTGAGTGTTTCCATCAGAGCAAGGTGCTGGGCGCTGGTGCGGGGCGGGACCCCTCCTCTCGTCCCTGTAGTTCACCTCTCTTGCTTGTCCGAAGCGAAAAAGGGTTAGTTACCTAGCCGTGTCCAACTCTTTGCAACCCTGTAGACTGTAGCCCACCAGGCTCCTCTGTCCATGGGATTTCCCAGGCAAAAATACTGGAGTGGCTGGCCTTTCTCTTCTCCGGGGGATCTTCCTGACCCAGGGATCGAACCCAGGTCTCCTGCATTGCAGGCAGATTCTTTACCAGCTGAGCCACCAGGGAAGCCCAGGCAGGGTCATCATTAGCGGCGCCAGCCTCATGGGGTTCCTCTGCCAAGCCTGTTGGTGGACAATGGTCAGAAGGGGCGACGGGGGAGGGTTCACAGCCAGCCAGCCCTTACCCTTGGCTTCCTCCATGGAGGCCCAGGAAGGGAGGGGGCGTGGGGAGTGGCCCCCGGCACTGACTTGGGCCTGGGTCTCTCCTAGGCTTGGGCCCCCCTTCTCTGCACCAGGGCATGGCACCTGCCTTTCCACCTGGCCTGGGGGGCTCCCTGCCTTCAGCCTACCAGTTCGTCAGGGACCCCCAGTCGGGCCAGCTGGTGGTCATTCCCAGCGACCACCTGCCTCACTTTGGTAAGTGGTGGTCCGTGGTTGGGGGCAGGGGCTGTGATGGCCTGATACAGTGAGGCTCTCCCAAACGCCATGGGCCTCCTGTGATGGGGAGGGGGTGTCACGGAGCTGCAGGGGTCCCTGTTCTGATGAGTTCCTACCCAGAAAGCCCATGTGGAGAACCACGGCGGGGCTGCGCGGTGCCCCAGCCCTCAGCAGTCCAGTTTGCAGAACAGTGGGTGTCGCGGGGGGAGGTGTGGAGTCGCCACCACGTCGGCCACTCCCGCTGTGTGGCCTCTGGGACCCCCGCGTGGGCCCCGGGGCCTGGGGTGTGGCTCAGGAGGAGGGGGACCGGCTTCCTGGCCCCCAGGAGGCCCCCGGAGGCCCAGCTGAGCCCGTTCTGCCGCAGTGTGAGCGTGTGGTCCCTCTCTGGGCCTCGGCTTCCCCGTCTGCAGAGTGGGGTGGCAGGCGCCGGGCGCTGGGCGCAGCCTCAGGGTCCTCTCGCCCGCAGCGGAGCTGATGGAGCGCGCCGCGGTGCCGCCGCTCTGGCCCGCCCTGTACCCGCCGGGCCGCACCTCCCTGCACCACGCCCAGCAGCTGCAGCTCTTCTCGCAGCAGCACTTCCTGCGGCAGCAGGAATTCCTCTACCTGCAGCAGCAGGCAGCCCAGGCCCTGGAGCTGCAGAGGAGCGCCCAGCTGGTGGTGAGTTGGGGTGGGGGCATGGTCGCAGGAGGGCCGTGGGGGCCGTGGAGACCCTTCTGGGAGCCCGCTCCCACTGATGGCAAGGCAGGGGGGCAGCTGGTAGAAAATCCAGTTCTGGACTGGGAGGGAGAAGTGAGCGGCTGGTGGTCACGGAGGGCCCCCTGGAGGTGGTGACGTCCGCCCAGAGACCTGAAGAAGTCAGTTGTGGAGGAGCCCTCTGGGCAGAGGGGACGGGGAGCAAGCCCGAGAGGCGGACAGAGCCCGGTGGGGGCGTGGGGGGTGCAGGGAGCCACAGGGAAACCGAGGCAGGAGAGGCAGACCTGTGGACGGGAGGTGTCTGCCTGGGAGCTGAAGGGATCCCAGTGGGCTCCTGCTGTTTCCTGAGCCCAGCCTGGCCCAGCTGGGGGCTTGATGGCCTGGGCTCCCCTCTTGGGCCAGGGCTGGCCTCCACCCACGTTGCCTGGTCCCATGAGGTGGGTGGCACTTGGTGTCCCCCTGTGTAGTGACTCCCTAAAGCCCACAGCTCTCCTGCCTTCTTGAAGGTGTTCCAGGACACCTGTCCTCTGCCTGGCCACGTCCCTCCTTTTTCATGCGGCAGCCGCTCTGAAGGACTCAACATAGATGACACACAGCGCATGGGGCCCTGGTTTTGAACCTTTAGTTCTGCCACGCCTGGCTGAGTGCCTTTGGGCGAGTGAATCCACCTCTCTGGGCTCCAGGTTTCCTCCTGTGGAAATGGAGTGGCTGTTAATTTCTGTGTCATCGAATTCTTTATTGAGATTTCACAGTGGTGAGGGTGGGGGCCTGGAGCCCTCTGCACGGCGTATTTGTGTGCAGACAGCCCGCCAGGCCCAGGCTGCTCTTGAGCCGCTTCCTCTGGGCCCAGGAAGGCTCACCGTGGTGGTGTTTGAGAGCGCGCTGTCATAAAGCAGGGGAGGGTCCTCAGGTGGTGAACCCTCCGTGCAGGCAGCTGTCCTTGTCCCGTGGGGGAGCTGGGGTGGGACAGTCCTGTGTCTTCAGGAGCCTCCCGCCTCTGCCTGGCCCCCTGCGCTCTGTCTCTGGGGGTCCTGGGGCGGGGATCAGGGTCTAGACCGGAGGTTCCCCAGCCCCATCTGCTGGAATTCTACAAGGAATGCTGTGCTTGTTATGCGAGCCGGGACGGAATGTCCGTCTCCGGCAGGGTCCTGCAGCCCCCAACCCCGCCTGGAGTTCTCCGTGGGCCGGGGGAGCCTGGGGCCGGTGCTGGGTGATGGGTCCTGCTGCGCTGACCCTGCCTGTCGGCCCTCTCCACAGCAGGAGCGGCTGAAGGCCCAGGAGCAGCGGGTGGAGATGGAGGAGAAGGTGAGCAAGCGCAGCCTGGAGGCTGCGGGCAAGGCCGGCCTGGCCGCCGCGGGCCCGGGGCTGCTGCCGCGGAAGCCCCCTGGCCTGAGCACTGGCCCCACGGGTGCCTACGGCAAGGCCATGAGCCCGCCGCCTTCTCCCCGCGCGTCCCCCGTGGCTGCCCTGAAGGCCAAGGTCATTCAGAAGCTGGAGGGTGTGTCCAAGCCGCCGGCCTACGCGTACCCTGCCACGCCCAGCTCCCAGCCCAGCAGCCCGCCGCCCGCCTCCCCGCCGCCCACCCCGGGGATCGCCCGCAAGGAGGAGGCGCCCGAGAACGTCGTGGAGAAGAAGGACTTAGAGCTGGAGAAGGAAGCCCCCAGCCCCTTCCAGGCCTTGTTCTCAGGTGGGAGCTGGGGAAACGGGTGTCCCGCGCGTCACTCACTCATCGGTTCAGCCGGCCATTCCTCCTTTCCCTGTTGAGCGCCTGCCATGTTGGCTCAGCCAGGAAGTTCCTCCTGGTGTTTTGGCCAAACCAGTCCGTGGCCTGCTGTCAAGCTCTGGAACGAGCTGTCAGCCATTGTCTCTCGAGTCTTCCCTCGGTTGTAGGTCAGGGGAAATGGGTGTAATGTTAGAAGTATGTCCTGAGTTCAGGAGGCCTTGTTCTGAGCATTGAACAGGCAACGCCCGTAAGGTATTCGGCGCCATGATGCCTGGCTCACAGGTGCTGCGTTGTCACACTGATGATGACAGTACCTTCCGGGTCGTGCCCCCGCCTACGTGTGGCATGCATGCACGCATGCACCCTCTTCCGTGTCCCGTGTCCATGGGGACACGCAGTGGGTGGCCTCGGCCCGTGAGAGGACATGAGCTTGAATTCCAGAATTCAGACTTTGGCTGCTGGGATGCTGTGTGGTCTTGGGCCGCACGCGCCGCTCTCTGGGGAGAGCCGATATCTTGCTGACAGTTGAGTCAAGTGTGGAGCACAGGCCAGGCTGCAGTGCGGGTTGGGGGTGCTCCGTGCATCTGTCTCCCCTCTTTGGTTCCTGTTCAGCTCTTACTGCTTGCATGCCCGCCCGCCCTCCTGACGGGGCCTGATGCTGCAGAGAGTCAGCTGCACACCACCCTGCTCTCCGGGAGATTACACTTTGTGGTGGGGGGAGGTCAGAGGTAACAAGGTGGGTGGCAGCACAGTGTTACTGTCAGTTTTTTAACAACTTGAATGTCCCCAGCTCTGCTGAAAAAGAGGTGGGGCTGGTGGGTTCTTGCGGGACGGAGGACAGAGTCCGCTGGGCTGGGTGGGGACCATTTCGGGTCTTTTTTCTTTTTAATAACTTTATTTATTTTGGCTGTGCTGCGCGGGGCTTTGCCCTAGTTGCGGGGAGCAGGGGCTCCTCTGTTGCCGTGCATGTGCTTCTCGTTGCGGTGGCTTCTCTTGTTGTGGAGCCTGGACCCTAGGGTGTGTGGGCTTCGGTTGTTCCGGCTCCCCTGCCCTGGAGTGCGGGGTCGGTAGTTGCGGTCCATGGACTTAGTTGCTCTGTGTCATGTGGGATCTTCCCGGACCAGCAATCGAACCCATGTCTCCTGCATTGGCAGGTAGTTTCTTTACCACTGAGTCGCCAGGGAAGCCCCCTGTGTAGGGTCTTATTTCCAGATCCTTCTGGTCCAGCTTTGTGCCGGATGCCTAGTTTGCGGGCACCAGAGATAGAGCCGTGGATGGGTTCTGCCTTTGAGACCCGAAGACCCTTGGGGACTGCAGGGTGGCCGATTTTTTCTCTCTGGGACCCAGATGTGCAGAGGTCCTGGGGTTCATCAGGTGCCATTGGGAAGGGCCTTCAGCCCTGCAGGCTGGCCGGAGAGAGAGGGAGGCGGGTGGGTGGGTGTTGACGGGGACACGGGGCTGGAGGGGGCTCCCACTGACCTGCGTGTCCTCTGCAGATATCCCAGCCCGGTACCCGTTTCAAGCCCTGCCACCGCACTATGGGAGGCCATACCCGTTCCTGCTGCAGCCCACGGCGGCTGCCGATGCCGACGGCCTGGCCCCCGACGTGCCGCTCCCAGCTGATGGGCCCGAGCGCCTGGCGCTCTCCCCTGAGGACAAGCCCCTGCGCCTGTCCCCGTCCAAGGTCCCAGAGCCGCTGCGCGAGATCCCGGACGAAGAGCCGCTGGTGGACCGGGAGGTGAAGGCAGAGGTGGAGGACATGGACGAAGAACCTGCCCAGCTGGCCTCTCTGGGGTCCCCGCTGACGTTGCCCCCCGAGGATGCCCTGGCGGCCCCGAGCCCGGCGGGCGGCCTGCTGGAGGCCCAGGTGCTGAGTGCCAGCGGCCAGGGGCCCGAGGAGCCCCCCGGGTGCCCGGACTTTGCCGAGGGGGCCGAGGCGCGGGTCGATTCGCCCAGCCGGACAGAGTCCTGTGCGGCCGCCCCGGACCTCGGGCCGCGACTGACGCCAGAGCCGCTGGTGGAGGCCAAGGAGGAGCCGGTGGAGGTGCCCGTGGACGTGCCTGTGGCCGTACCCTTGGCAGAGGCGGTGCCCGGCGAGGAGGACCTGGCCCAGGCGGCCCCAGTTGAGCCCCAACCCAGCCTGGAACTGCCGGACTGTGACATGCCCGTTGGGGAGGGCGAGTGCCCAAGCCTGGAGGCCCCCGAGGCTGGCCCTGTGCCTGGCGGTGCCTGCTTCCTAGAGGAGGCGGGTTCTGAGGAGTTCTTGCCCAGCCTGGAGGACCCGCTGGCCGGCATGAACGCCCTGGCGGCGGCCGCAGAGCTGCCCCAGGCCCGGCCCCTGCCCTCCCCGGGCACCGGAGCTCCGGCCCGGGAGACACTGGAGGCTGCGCAGAGCCTCGTTCTGGAGCAGAGCTTCCTGCACGGCATCACCTTGCTGAGCGAGATCGCCGAGCTGGAGCTGGAGAAGAGGAGCCAGGAGGCGGCAGGTGAGGCTTCTGGGGGTTGCTTTCCCCCCCTTGGCCTATTTTTTGTTATTGATTTTTGGCTGCGCCACCAGGCTCATTGGGTTAGGGTTAGGGTTCTCCTAACCCTAACCCCTACCAGTTCCCCGACCAGAGCACACAATCCTAACCACTAGGCCACCGAGAAACTCCTGCTTTTTCCCTTCCTATTAAAAAAAAGTTTTTTTTAAGTGGGATTTTTAAAGTTTCAGAATCTCTAGAATATGGTTTGTTTCTATTCACTTTTTTCCCTTTGTGAATTAATTTTTTAAAATTGTGGTAAAATACACTTATTGTAAACTTTACCACTCTAACTTTTTTTTTTTTGGTGGGGGGGCTGTGCTAGGTTTTCACTGCACGAGTTTTTCTCTAGTCACAGCAAGCGGGGTCTGCTCTCTAGTTGCGGAGCATGGCCTCCTCATTGCAGTGACTTCTCGTTGCAGAGCACAGGTCCTAGGGCGCTTGGGCTTCAGTAGTTGCGGCTCCAGGCTCTGTAGTTGTACGGGGCATTGTGGGATCTTCTGGATCAGGAATGGAACCCATGTCTCCTGCATTGGCAGGCAGATTCTTTACCACTGAGCCACCAGGGAAGCCCCGCCTTTACCATTTTCAAACGTACAGGGCAGTGGTGTTATGTAGTTACTTTGTCATGCAGCCAGCTTATGGGTTTCTTCGTGGTGAAACTCCTCCTTGTTCTGTCCGTGGTGAATTAGCGGGATGCGTTGCAGTGTGAGCGACAAGACTCACTGGCTTAGAAAAAGTCAGGGGAAATTTTTTTGGCTTGTGGAATCACAATGTGTCAGTAATGAAGGAATGTTTCAGGTACGGCTGGATCCAGGTGCTCAAGCCAAGTCATCAGGAGTTCTTTTTTGCCTCTTCCTTGTCCCTCCCTCTCATAGCTTCACTGCTTTCCACTGGCTTCATGCAGGGTGGGTCCACTTTCCTCATGGGGGTCACTAATACTTCCTCCCAAGCCCACGGGCCCATGGACTGCAGCCAGCAGACACACAGAAGAGGCCACCTCTCTCCTGGTAGCTCTGGCGAAGATGCTCTGATTCACTCATTAGTTGGCTGACTGTGGTTCATGCTTTTTGCAGAAGCAAAGCCTGTATCCCAGGAGATGGGGTAGACTGGGCTGGTCCTGCCCAGCCCTGGATGGGGGAGCAGTCACTTCTAGGATGTAGGTGTGTGTGTAGGGAGGTGGTCATCCTCAGAAGGAATGGAGTGCCTTCAGTGAATTCTGGGCTGGCACAAACCCACTGACATTCAACATAGAAATCGAAGTGCTCCACAAAGTATGTAAAGCGCCAAAGGGTCAGGCGCAGCCTTGCCAGCCTGCACTCCAGCCAGAACACTCGCGGGGGCGGGGGTGGCGCACAGCTGGGGGGAGGTCATAAGAGCAGTGAGCAGTGCAGGGTGTTCAGCTGTATGTCCTCTAGAACTTTTTCTACACTTGCACACGTTTCTAAAATTAAGATCATTTTGTAAGCAACTTTTGTTACCTGCCTTTTCCACTTTGTTGTTGTTCAGTCGCTGCACTGTGTCAGATTCTTTGTCCGAGCCTTTGTGACACCATGGACTGCAGCACGCCAGGCTTCCCTGTCCGTCCCTGTCTCCTGCAGTTTGCTCAGACTCATGTCCATTGTGTTGGTGATGCCATCCAACCATCTCATTCTGTCGTCCCCTTCTCCTCCTGCCTTCAATCTTTCCCAGCATCAGAGTCTTTTCCAATGAGTCAGCTCTTCGCATCAGGTGGCCGAAGTATTGGACCTTCAGCTTCAGCATTAGTCCTTCCAGTGAATATTCAGAGTTGATCTCCTTTAGGATGGACTGGTTTGACCTCCTTGCAGTCCAAGGGACTCTTAAGCACTCTCAAGTCTTCTCCAGCACCCCAGTTTGAAAGCATCAGTTCTTTGGCGCTCAGCCTTCTTTTCCCCTAAGTATATTCTTTATTAAACATTTTCAACACTTGTGCATTCTTAAAACATTTTTTGGAACTACGCAGTTTTCTGCCTGGTGGAGGCCCCAGCCTTCAGTTGACTCAGCCCTCAATTGTCAGGC